TATACATGTATATAAATATGTGTGCATGCGTATGTGCCTATGTATATCATATATGTGTGTGTATACATATACATAGATGTGTATATTTACATGTGTGTGGGCATGAATATATACTGATTTACACATAACCACACACCATACCAACACACACATTGCATATATACTAAATGTGCATACATACAAATATATGCGTATGTGATGTACATATATATGTATATATATGTATATATATATATATATATATATATATATATATATACATATGTATATATATATATATATATATATATATATATATACATATGCATGCGTATATGTATTTACACGCATATATATATGTGTCAGTGTGTACTGTACATATTCATATATGCGTAACATATATATGTTTATATATATTCACATGTCTCCATGCGTATTTCTTTTCTTTGCCCTACGTGTTTGATTATCAACATCATTATTTTTGGACATGATTATCCGCACACACACACGCATATATATATATATTTCTTTTATATATGTTTATCTATACACATATACATACAGACACATATATATGTATACGCGTACTGGAAAATTGTGTCCAGAAATACCGATCAAACACATTGGACAGAGAAAGGAAATGTCTTGATCACTCCGAGCGAGGGCTGGCTGGCCCAAGGATACCTTTCACTGTAATTAAACGCTTCTAGAAATGCTACCTTTCCTAACTGTTCCCTATGATTTTTTTCTTTCTTTTTTTTACCATAGATATATACGTAGTGTAAAATAAACTACCAACACGGGGAAACGTTTAAATGATTAATGAATCAAAATTAAATTACTGTCACAGTTCGGTTATTCAGTTGTGGGGGGGGGAGGAGGAAGGTTACTACTTCCCATATAAAGACGTCCATCATCATCGAAGGCCCCGAGAGCTAAGAGAGCAAGCATGGCTTTACGATACTTGGTGAGTTTATATCAAATTCTGAGATACATTTACTGGTACATGCATATATATATGTGTACATATGAGTGTAGGTTTGAGTGTGTTCATACTTGTACACACGAAATACTACGTATAATATGGATACAAACATCAATAAGCAAAACATTTTACCATATTCTGTATCGCAAATTTCGTTGTCTTTGGCGGTTCTGGCCGACCAGACCTCACACGTCAGCATCAGTCTCGGCGGTGCTTCTGCTGTCAGCCATCACACCTCCTCTCACCACGCACGCACTTCATACCACCATCAACCTACATACCACACACAACTCTCATACCATCCACAACCTTCCTACCATCCTGCTCCCGCTTATCACCCACAACCTTCCTATGAGCATGAACACGAACCTGCTGTGCCAGAATGTGCTGCCAACACGACCAAACCATGGTGCCTACAAGACGACCATTATCCCACCTACGAGATCAAACATGCAGCTGAGTATCACTACGAGAAGCTTCTCTCCCTCTATGCTGATGTAGCCGACCTCAACACCGAGCTGTCTGTGTACCGACCAAACACCCTGGATGAGGAAACTTACTTGTGCCCATCAGAGACCGCTTACGTCAGGCCCCTTCGTGCACAGAACACCGAGGGAAAATGGCGTGTCGTTGTAAACAATATTGATGCCCATTATCAGACTTTCACTCAGACTATACGTATCGAAGAGTGTCTCACTTCCGCTGATGCATGTCCTCTGGTGCCTGAGTGCTACGAGTCCGAGTGTCTGCAAAAGTCCATCTACCACCGATTCTTAGTCTACAACCCTTATGATCAGTATTTCCTATTCGCCATCGAGACATTCAAGCTTCCCGCCAGCTGTGCTTGTCTGTTAATCGCCAAACACTTGATTCCAAGCCACATAAGGGGGGATATAAACTGAATTCAACAATATTCAAACATCCTCAGCGCTCTGGGAACAAGGCATGCTGTCCATGGATAACCAAGACGTACGTGAAGAAAGCTGTTTTCTAGATATCGTTTATATCTACATAAACGACATGTCTATGTCGTATGTAAACACTTCTCTTATGAAATATGAAAATGAATACAATTTTACATATTGAATATGAACATTTTTCTCCTGAAACCTTCATAATCCATTATATGTTTGCACGTTTAAGTATATATATGTGTGTGTGTGTGTGTGTTTGTATATATTTACATTTATAACATATAATCATAAACGCATACATATATACAAAAAAATATATATACATTTATATCTATACATGTACAGACAAATACACGCATATATAAATTCAACAATATTTGAATGTCCATGGAAAATCGTCGAGTACGTGAAGAAAGCAGTTTTCTAGTCATCTTTTTGTAGTAACGTCGACAGAAATGGTAACCGATTCCATAAGACATATCAACCCCCCTCTTGTGAAACATGAATATGTATAGGTAGATAGATAAATAGATATACTTTATTTTACGTAATTTAACCTTCAGTCTCCCTACCAATACTCACATCTTTGAATTCATGAGGTAAGTAACACCTAAGATTTTCGTAATAGGAGTTTTTCAGGATCCATTTAAATTTTTCTTGCGTGTGTTTACAAATATATTTTAAACCTGGGAATCTACAAACAAGAGCTAAATTGTGCATGTTAGGAGTAAGCAAAAAACAAAACAAAAAAAAAGATGATCATACTAATCAGTCATACCATGATCGCGATGTATGATGCTTATACATACATATATATATTGTATACAGTTATACAAATATGGTATATATATATATATATATATATATACGTAAAGATTTATATGTCATATAAATATATATATACACACACAAACATGTGTGTGCTTATGTATATACATAGATATATATGATTAGTACTATATATACATATATATGCTCATTAGTATACAGCTCAGCGTCCCGATCACTTTGCCTTTTAACAATCAGCTGCTTTGGCGCATGCCTCTACCGTCTTGCAGAATAGTGTGAACACTGGCTGATTCATAGGGTTTGAGGCTTTGTTCCTTACTTTCCCCTGACTGTCAAGGTTGGCTAACACTTCAACTGCCGTCTTCAAAATGTTACAATTATTTTAATGGGCACCTTGGGTATGTGGCCACTCCCGCTCATCCAGTGACGGCTCCCTTCCCCTTGAACTTGGCCTTGAACTTGGCGATGAAGCGGATGACTTTTTCCTCATTCATTCCGGTCCGTTTACTTATTCCTCCAAAGTGCAGATCTACTTTATGCCATTTAAAGGCTCCTACAAATTTATCATGGAAAGTGTTCATCTTGTATTACTTGGTCATTAAAGGGACGAGTTACACTTTGATACTGGGGGAAGGCCGGCAGCCAGACGCAAAAATGGTCGTTTTGTCATTTACTTAGCCTACCAATGTTTCCAGTTCATCGGACTTAAAAGTATATACAACTTCGGCCCTTAAAACGTATATATATGTATGTGTGTGTGCATTTGTATGTTTGTACATATAGCGTTTACATATAGGTCTGTGTATAAACACACACACGGACACACTCGCACATATATGTGTGTGTTAAAAGATACACACACACACAAAGAAACATAAACACATACATATATATGTATACACACTAATATACTCTGCGTTTTCATGTGTATGTATATATTGTATATGTACATACGCACATTTGTGTATATATATGTTAATATATGTATATGTACATAAATGTACATGAACATATATAAATATGTACATATTTGTATACATGTGCATATATATTTATATGTACATTTATATATATATATATATATATATATATATATATATGTGTGTGTGTGTGTGTGTGTGTGTGTGTGCGTGTGTGCGTGTGTACGTATTTATAAAGTATACAAACATATACATATATTATGTGTATGCCTTAGTGAATGAGTGTCTTAGCAATTTTTCTCACAGGATAGATGGGGAGGGTAAAACGTGCCCTATGGTGAAAATTTATCCACGTGTCCGTGAACTGTCGGGGAAATAATGGCGACAGTCAGAAAATGCTCCACTTTCACGTTTTTCTAACCTTGAAGGCACGCATCCTCGTAATGTGTGGGTGTGGCCAACGAATACTTGGCGTATATAAAATCTTTAATAACGAGAGGGCAACAGTAGAAGCGATTCTCCTTTCTATCTCCTCATTTCATCATGGCTCTTACCTTGGTAGGCTGTAATAATAGTGCCAGTTAAAGCTGTCTTCACTGTCTGAAGAACCTGGACTTCACGAAATGTTGTTTTAATGTTAATTTCTGCTTTCCAGTCGGTCGTTCTAGCATGTACCGGAGTCGTTCTGGGCTCCGTCCATTCCCCTGCATATGGCCATCACCCACAGCCTGCATACGGTCATCATGCACCTGCTTACGGTCACCATGCGCCTGCTTACGGACACCAACATGCCCATGAGCACCATTACTGCGATCCAACTGTTGCCCCCGCGTGCGCTGACAATACCACTCTCTCCTACTGCTTGGAAGACGCTGAGTATCCCGAGTATGAGATCAAGTCTGCCATCACTGCCGATCACCTGTTCGCCAAGAAGTACGCTGACGTAGCCGACCAGTCTGCTGATGACCTAGTAGACATGCTTACCAAGGATCAAGAGGAGGCCTTCGACTACTCTTACTATACTGGGGCTTCCACTGGAGACTCACCTTACGATGCCACCCACTGGGCTGGTCCTGAGGGTTACATCTGTCCCTCCGAAGTGGTCTATGCCATGCCCAAGCGTGCCCAGAATGTCGACGGCAAGTGGCGCGTCATTGTCAACGACGTTCATTACTACAGCCAGACTACACGCATGGAGACTTGTCTGTTCCCAGAGGCTGCTTGCCGCGCCCTTGCTCCCTGCTACCAGAGCCACTGTACCCAGAAGTCAGTGTACCACCGACTCCTCTCTTACGATCCATGTGACCCCTACAAGGGCCTGTTCATCGACATCTACAAGATGCCATCTGCCTGCTCCTGCCACCTTCCCGCCTAACATACCACAACACTTCATGTCCACTAAAAATAACTAACATGCCACTACAACGCTCCTCAACGAATCGCCTCTTCACACACAATCTAACACTCCACGGCCATCACAAAACCATGCCTGCCACCAAGGAACTTTCGACAATCCTTGTTAGCCGTTAAAGCAGAGGAGAACAACCCACGTGACTGGAGAATAGTTTTCTTCATGTACCACCACTAGTCATGCCATGAACCGTCGGAACGCTTTCCTCTTAAGCCATGTAAAAAAAGAAGGAGCGAGACATCTATTGTAATTTTTCTTCTATAAACAAGTTATTTTGGAATATCTCTATATGATTTACTCCTTGTCCTTATTTGCTTATTAAAAATCATGAAAAATAGGGAAAAAAACAATGATAATTATAACATAAAAATTATAATGATACTGATTGCTATTATGATGATTATCATAACAGTAATGCCAAAAATAAGAAAAGGTAAGCCAAAAAAAATTTATAATGATGATAATTGCTATTATAGTCAGAATAAGCATTAGAAGATGAAGGACAATAATAAAAGACAATAATAAGAATATCAATAGTGCTAATGCTAATAATTATCAGAATAATAAAGATAATGTTTACAATAATAAATGTAATGAAAAATTAACATAGTGACAATAGTACTGATAATGACGAAAGTGATTATCAGAACACAAGGTTAAGAAAAGTTTGATAATAATAATAATAGCAATAATGGTGATAATATCTAAACTAATACAAACAGTTACGATGGAACCGTAACATTTTGCGTTTACAAAAAATTGGAATAGTAACAGAGCAATTTGATATATGTCAGTGAATACGTTAATGATAACAATTATCAGCATATTAAATAAGGAAATAACTACATAATGCAAAAAGACGCCGAAATAAGACCCACACCCATATCGAAAGGAATTTAAGTAATGTACACTAATAGTTCACACACTGCGACATCATAACTGTCCATGGATTGGTCTGATTATGATATTGTTAATTATTGGTGTTAATTTTTATGGTTACTGTCAGATAACAGGCAATAACATTAACTTTCTTTCGTTATCTGACAGTCTGTCAGATAAAGTCTCAAGTTTATCCACTTTTTTAAAGTTTCTCTGACAGAACACCAATTCCAAACCTAGAGGTAATGTCAGCAAGAAATCCCACGCGTGACACCTATGTAGCATTTGTTATGGAACTCCGTTTGATGACTATGACTAGTATTTCTTGTAGCCTCAGTTACTCCATGGTCTGGAGCCAGACCATGGGGTAACAGAGACTACAAGTAATACTGATAAATTTTTCTCACAAAAATAAGTCAGCATTGTGAAGATTAAAATCGTCAGTTATAACTAGCTCACATACTGTTTGACTATTTCATGCAGACTAATGAAATGGCGCAGTAATGTCTTACAAATATTCCTGGAAATTCACATTTCCTTTTAGAAAGTCACTTATGTATTGTAGCTTCTGTCACCCGGCCCCGGCTGCTGACGTAGCCGTGACATGGGGTAACAGAAGCTACAATATATCCTTGCTTTTATATTATGCTGCCGTATTATCAAAATACATGTAAAATTAAGCTGGGCACATAAGGGTTAAAACAAACTTTATCCAATAATAGGGTGTTTTTATCCATAATGTCGGAAAGCATACAGAGAGCAGGTATCCCAAGCTGAGAAAATGGTCAAATGTAGTCGCTTAGACTTTAAAGTTGGTGACCTGGTGACAATGTTGCTGTCCCAATGCCAGCTGTGGATCGTGGTAGAGGAGATCCACGAAATATCCTGGGTGATATTGTCAGCAGAGTTTTGGACACTGGCCAGTATAAGATGTGAAGTCGGATGTTCTAAAGAGTCAGTATTCTAGAAACCAGTTTGACCTCTGCCCCCAGCGTTTACTGACAGAAGATGACGTAATTCAGGATGCTGTCATTGCACATTCTGCATGTGATGGTTAGGGATACACTATATACAACTGTAGTGGTCTGAAGAAATGCTTAACTAACAGATGTAGGTGTTTCAAAGCTAATGTGAAATATAACTCTCGATGGCATGGAAGTGTCAACTGTGCTAATAAATGCTGGTTGTTGAATAACCTTCAGGTATTCAGATAGCAATGTAATGAATAGTTTGATATAGCAATATATGTATGCTCTTATGAATGAACAAATGTTTGGTGTTATGAATAAAATGAATGTTATAGATACCTGGTATCATGTTTTTATTAGGAACTAAATAACGGATTTTCCAAATAGGTTTAATCCAAAAGTCGCTTCCTGTGACAGCAGTTCTACTAACATTATTAAGAACATTATTGCAGGTCATAATTCTAACCGTTGCTCATCCACACATCATCCACACATGTGAAAAAAGTCGAAACAGTCATTTCATGAAATCCCTGACCTCCCTATTCAGGAATTTCGTGAATTTCCTGGATATTTCAGTAAATTCATGAAATCTCCGAGAGAAACAGTGATTTCATTAATTTACTGAAAATTTTAGGGATTTCGTAAAACTGTAACATATATACACATATTTCTGCATATATATATATACATATACACATATGTGTGTGCTTCACATATTTATATATGTATATATATATAGATATGTGTGTCCTGTGTCTCTCTCTCTGTCCTATGCATTTGATTACCAACATCGTTATTTCTGGGCAAAATCAACACACATATTTGCATATATATATGCATATAGATTTTCATATATATATATATATATATATATATATATATATATATACATATACATATACATTTTGTATATGTATATATACATACACATTCAAATGTGTGTGTATATGCATATATATATATATATATATATATATATATATATATATATATATATATGTATATATATATATGTATATATATATATATATATATATATATATATATGTATCTATATATATGAATGTTTATATTTATGTATTGAAAAATTATGTCCAGAATTAACAATCAAACACATCGGACAGAGAAAGGAAACACGTCTTGATTAGGTCTGGCTGGCTCAAGGATACCTTTCACTGTAATTATTCGCTTTCAGAGATGATAACTTTCCTAAAATTCATTTTTCCTGTGTGTTTTTCTTACAATATAAATAGTATACATAGCGTAAAATAAACTACAAACACGAGGGAACGTTTAAATAATTAATGAATTAAAATTACTGTCACAGTTCGATTATGCAGTTGGGAAGTAGGGGGCGGGGAGGTGGGATACTGTTCCTATAAAAAGGACGCCCGATATCACGGTCGCTACAGTTCGAAGGCACCGAGAGCTGAGAGTTCAAGCATGGCTTTACGATACTTGGTGAGTTCATTGTATGTTCTGATATAAATTTACAGATCCATGCATACACGTATGCAGTGTATAAGTGTAGGTATGAATGTGTTCATACGTGTATATACCATGTATATACAAGCTTTATCAATATACTAAAATCTTACCATATTCTGTGTCGCAGGTTTCGTTGTCTTTGACGGTCGCAGTTCTGGCCGATCAGACCTCACACGTCAGCATCAGTCTCGGTGGTGCTCCTGCTATCAGCCATCACAGTTCCTCTCACCATGCACGCACTCCATACCACCATCAACCTACATACCACACACGGCCCTCATACCATCCACAACCTTCCTACCTTCCTGCTCCCGCTTATCACCCACAACCTTCCTATGAGCATGAACACGAGCCTGCTGTGCCAGAATGTGCTGCCAACACGACCAAATCATGGTGCCTACAAGACGACCATTATCCCACCTACGAGATCAAACACGCAGCTGAGTATCACCATGAAAAGCTTCAATCCCTCTATGCTGACGTAGCCGACCTCAACACCGAACTGTCTGTGGAGCGACCAAATACCCTGGATGAGGAAACTTACTTGTGCCCATCAGAGACCGCTTACGTCAGGCCCCTTCGTGCCCAGAACACCGAGGGAAAATGGCGTGTCGTTGTAAACAATATCGATGTCCATTATCAGACTCTCACTCAGACTACACGCATCGAAGAGTGTCTCACTTCCGTTGATGCATGTCCTTTGGTGCCTGACTGCTACGAGTCCAAATGTCTGCAGAAGTCTATCTACCACCGCTTCCTTGTGTATAACCCCTATGATCAGTATTTCCCCTTCGCCATCGAGACATTCAAGCTTCCCGCCAGCTGTTCTTGTCTGTTGGGTGCCTACACCATTGATCATTAGTCACGAAACAAATAAGCGTAAGGTATACTGGCGGAAATGTTTAACATGAATTCAACAATATTTTAACATCATTGGCGTCCTGGGAATGGAAGTGAAGAAATATCGTCTATGGAAAGTTGTGAAGTACGTGAAGAAAGCAGTTCTCTAGTCATCTTGCTATAGTAACATCGGCAGAAATGATAACTGATTTCAAATGACATCAAAATCCCCTCTCTTGTGAAACATGAAAATAAATATTTTACGTATTTTACATTTCAATATTCCTTCCAATATACATATCATCAGGTACGTAACATTTAATATTAATCCGATAATCTAAAAATAACAGCCGAATTACGTGTGTGAGAAAGAATGAGCATAAAAGATACTCGATATTCATTCTCATTAATCATAAGTTTGCAATGGAAGACATTCTCATAATTTATATGTAAATGCATATATGTATATTGTATATGTATATACATGTATATATGCATAGATGTGAATATACTTATAAATATTTTGTATATAAATGTACATACATATATGTATAATCATGTATTTTTGTATATATGTATGCATATATGTATATATATATTCATATATATATATATATATATATATATATATATATATATATATATATGTATATGTATGTATGTACATGCGTTTATGCATTGATATAAATATATATATAATCATTTGTATGTATATCTTATATTTATATATATACTGTGTGTACTGTGTACTGCGTGTGTGTGTGTATATATATATATATATATATATATATATATATATATATATATATATATATATGTGTGTGTGTGTGTGTGTGTGTGTGTGTGGGTGGGTGGGTGTAATCATGAATATACGTTAACTGAGTCCTTTTATAACTTGGTCGCCTGTGCTTTAATGCACACCTTCACCGTGTTACAGAATACTATGAACATTCGCTGATTCAAAGGGTTTAGGGCTTTGTTTCTTACCTTGCCTAGCTGTCAAGGTTGGTTAACACTTCCACTATCGTCTTCAGAATATTACAATTATTATAATGGACACCTACGTCATGTGGTAACCGCCGTTTACCTTGTGGTGGTTCCCTTCCCACTGAACTTGAACTGATGAGGCGGCTGGCGTTTTCCTCTCACCGATCCGTTTACCTATAAATGATTATATATATATATATATATATATATATATATATATATATATATATATATACATATATATATATATACATATATATATATATATATATATATATATATATATATATGCTGTGTGTGTTTCTGTGCGTGTCTGTTTGTACATATGTATATATGTATGTGTCCTGTATATAAATGTGTGGGTGTGCATGTCTGTGTAGATTTTTATGAGTATATATATATATATATATATATATATATATATATATATATATATAATAGTATATATGCTTATGGATGTGCGTGTGTGTGTGTGTGTACTCTACATATATAAATATATAATTATATAGTTACATACGTTTATATGTCTATAGACTGATATGTGTGTGTGTATATATATATATATATATATATATATATATATATATATATATATATATATATATATATATATATATATGTAAGTGTAGCAGCCCAGTTAAGAAAGTAAAGGTGAATAAAAATGTTTTAAAAGACTATGTGTCGAATACATAGATGGGTATTGGAACTCGGTTGTTTACTGCAACGGCAGCTGTGGTCGCCTAACAGCACCAGGCCCTATTGAAGGGGTTTGGAGGTAAATTACATTCTTTGTAATAGTTTATTCTCCTATTATTATGATTTTATGTTTTATGACTTAGTTAGCATTCAGTGATGTGCTTCAATTGAGTTAATTGTGTGAATTATTACAAATTTAATAGTATATAAGACCACGTGGCCACAGTTGTTACGTTCCACATTGTTTTGTTTGCAGTTTTACGTATGAGTACGGATATGGAAGAAGATGTAGAAATTGTATTCATCAGTTATGGAGAATGAAGCAAGAAGCAACAACAATAGTTTGTTTCTCCAGAATCCATAGAAGTATTCATTCAGTAAACAAACTCCAAGAATAAAGGGCGAGGCCGCAGCGACAACATATGAATATATTGTCGATAGATGAATAGATAAAGTAATAGTAAAAAAAAAGGGGACATATGTTGTAATATCGTAGTCTCCCCTGAAATTTACTTACATCATAATCTACCCTGAAAATCGCTTAATCACAAATTTCGGGTTTACTTTTATCTCTTTCTCTACAAATACTATCGACATGTGTACTTTCGAAAAATATATTATGTCTTTATGCTTAACTGACAAATCTTAATTATTTGCATAGTTATGTTGTCAAAAATACTTGTAAGTCTTCAGTCTTTTACAAGTACTCCCAGAAAATAATAACTAAAATAAAATAGTATAACAATTAAATCTTTCACTAAAGAAATCTTCTCTAGTCTTCAGTCCTAATTACAGATATATAACCAATTTGGTTACTCTGAAATCAGAACGGCATTAACGGACTAAATACAGCGGTAGAAATCCGGCTTAGCCAAGACCCCTCATCCTGGGCTTTAAAGGACTTATGCTGCCGTTAAACCGAGATAGATGGTTTAGCCACGTCTCTATAATAATAAACGCACACTGATAAACAAGACAACATATATATCTATATATATTGTCTATGTGTTCACGGGCACACACACACACACACACACACATATGTATATATATATATATAAATGTATACAGTATAGATGTTGATAAAGTTGCAATATATATGTATTTAGATACATAAGTTTTTGTGTGTATACATTTATAGGTATGTGTATGTATAGATACATATTTATATATATACACATATATATAGATATAAATCAAACATATCCCTATGCACATAGGGATATGTAAGTATATATATATGCAGAGCCTTCAATTACATTTTGGCTGGAGGAATAGCGAAGGACTACAATTTCAAATAAAATAAGTTTAATGAAATACACCAATACTTTTTTTTCCTTCGCTTGGATACCCACCTTCGCCCCTCCCTGTGTACCATGCATGTTATACGTATGTATGTGCATGTAGTGTCTAAATATTGATACATGTATCTATACAATATCCACACCTACACCTATCCACACACATATGTGTGCATTTATGTTTATATATGTAATTGCATGTGTTTGTGCCATTGTAAATGCGATTGTGTATGCCTTAGAGGGTGAGAAGGATAGAAATTACTTCGCGTGTCAGGAACGATGCACTTTCACGCTTTCGTTACCTTGGGAGTCACGCATCTTCGTACTGAGTGGGTGTGGCCAAAGCATACCTGGAGTATATAAGCCCGATGATAATTAAAGGCCAACAGTAGAAACGATTATCGTATCTATCTGCTCATATCATCATGGCTCTTACACTAGTAAGTTGTGACAATACTGGCATCTGAAGCTAGTTGCATACGATTATTTATTTATTATTATTATTATTATTATTAATGGACTTTAAGAAAAACTTATTTTACTTAAATGTTAATCTTTGCTTTCCAGTCGGTCGTTTTGGCATGCGCCGGAGTCGTTCTGGGCTCCGTCCATCCTCCAGCTTATGGACATCACCCACAGCCCGCTTACGGTCATCATGCGCCTGCTTACGGTCATCATGCACCTGCTTACGGCCACCAGCATGCCTACGACCACGGTTACTGCGACCCAACTGTTGCCCCCGCATGCGCTGACAATTCAACTCTCTCCTACTGCTTGGAAGACGCTGAGTATCCCGAGTACGAGATCAAGGCTGCCATCACTGCCGATCACCTGTTCGCCAAGAAGTACGCTGACGTCGCCGACCAGTCTGCTGATGACCTGGTAGACATGGTTACTAAGGACCAGGAGGAGGCCTTCGACTACTCTTACTACACTGGAGCCTCCACTGGGGACTCCCCCTACGATGCCACTCACTGGGCTGGTCCTGAGGGTTACATATGTCCTTCCGAAGTGGTGTATGCCATGCCCAAACGTGCCCAGAACGTGGACGGCAAGTGGCGTGTCATTGTTAACGACGTTCACTATTACACCCAGACTGCCCGCTTGGAGACTTGTCTGTTCCCAGAGGCTGCCTGTCGCGCCCTTGCTCCTTGCTATCAGAGCCACTGCACCCAGAAGTCAGTGTACCACCGACTCCTCTCCTATGATCCATGTGACCCCTACAAGGGCCTCTTCATCGACATCTACAAGATGCCTTCTGCCTGCTCCTGCCACCTTCCTGCCTAACATGCCACCATAACGCTTCTCAACGAATCGCCTCTTCACATACCGTCTTACACTCTATTGCCACCCTTGCTAGCCTTTAAAGCGGAGAACACCCAACGTTACTAGAGAACTGTTTTCTTCCCGTACCGTTATTAGTCATGCCAGGAATCGCCGGGACGCTCCCGTCCTCCTCAGCCATGTAAATGATAAATACATCCTTTGTAATATTTTTATAAACATTTTTTTTTTTTTACATATCTATACGACTTCTTACTCCTTGGCATGCTATTTGCTGATTATGTTAAAAATCATTAGAAAAATAAGAAAAACTTATTTTACTTAAATGTTAATCTTTGCTTTCCAGTCGGTCGTTTTGGCATGCGCCGGAGTCGTTCTGGGCTCCGTCCATCCTCCAGCTTATGGACATCACCCACAGCCCGCTTACGGTCATCATGCGCCTGCTTACGGTCATCATGCGCCTGCTTACGGTCATCATGCGCCTGCTTACGGTCATCATGCGCCTGCTTACGGTCATCATGCGCCTGCTTACGGTCATCATGCGCCTGCTTACGGTCATCATGCGCCTGCTTACGGTCATCATGCGCCTGCTTACGGTCATCATGCGCCTGCTTACGGTCATCATGCGCCTGCTTACGGTCATCATGCGCCTGCTTACGGTCATCATGCGCCTGCTTACGGTCATCATGCGCCTGCTTACGGTCATCATGCGCCTGCTTACGGTCATCATGCGCCTGCTTACGGTCATCATGCG